AGGAGCAGCAATATATATTATCACTACAAAACATCAATTTAAAAGTACTTATTTTAACACAAAATAGATTAGAGTATAAGATATAGACCTCAAAGTATTATTAAGTGATTCAAACTGACTTTGCATACATAATACGCAGTTTCACTCGACAAGATTTCAGAAAACGAGAGCTCAAGTACATCATACTCGGTGAGAATACTAGGAAATCAAGTCGAACACGCCGTCCTTTGCTTCAGGGTATATGACATTCAAGACTTATGACTTTTTACTGGATCTAGGCATGGCAAGATCGAGATGACTAAACCACGCGTCACATCGAATGCTGGAAGATCGAACACAAAAAGCATGACACTATGTTTAGGTATGAGTGTATTGAGATGGAAACCACAAAGTTTCGCATTGGATGTATATGTATCATGAGATTCATACCAGAAGGTTTCACACACTGTCTGGTTGTTTGGTGTCATAAGTTTGGGATATTTCAATCATTGAACTTCATACAAGCTATGAACAAATGATCGGAGATTGCGTGTCGCTGACGCGAGTTTTGGCAGTTGTAATGGTCAATTGCTTTTATATTGAGTCATGTGCAATAATAAGATGAAAGAGAAAACGAAACGAATGTATGTTAAGTTTTTTCGAAAGTGAGGCATGAAATTCACTGCTTGTTTTTACAATGATGAAAATCTATCGGTAACAATAACAACAAGCTGTGAATTATTTTCCATTTGTTTTGTTCTTGCAAAACTACCTCTTAAATAAAAATGAAGCGCAAAACAAATGATTAACATGAATTTGTTATAAAAAAAAAAAAAAGGAAGAAGTGTTTTTTTCCTTTTGAAGAAACGTTGCTCCTTAGTATATTGACGAAACGGTGTTACAGTTCAATCTGATGTGAAAAAATTTAAACGAATATTTGACTACCTGGTGTTCGTTGTGATAGGATATTTCGTTCTTATTTCTTGCGATGTATGCACGTTGAAGTAACAAAAGTGATATTTTCATTTCTTTGTGCAAATCTCTCATTGATAATAGAGTGAGAGAAGTCCTTTAAAGAATCGAGGAAGGAAAAAAACGTAAAATGCATGGCAGTTTTTTTTCTTAGATTTTACTCTTTCTTGTCAACGATAATAACAACAGCGTTTTGATATTTGCTTCATTTTTCTTGCAGACTTGGAACTGATATAACGTTTTTGTCAATCGAACTGGATTGACAGGTTGAAACTTTTGACTTAACCCACAAAGGACCACAAAGTTCAATTGCATAATTCAATGGATGAAAAACTGATCCGTTTAACCCTTTACCACCCACCACTAATCCAACAGAGCTGTTGTTGATTTGACTACCGGAATAGATCATGCGAGTGCTCAGTATAACTTTCCTAAGGTCTAATTCAAGCGAAGTCACTTCACTGTGTAGATATAGCATGGGTTAAAAATGACCCATTGGTGTTGAATAACATAAAAATTTGACTTATTTTCTTGACTGCATGTCTATTTATCTATATCAAGCTATAAATCTTTTACTATTAAGAGTCGTTTACAAGAAAAAAATATATTTTTCAAAATAGTACGTGATAATTTACTTTTATCCGAATCAAAATTTACATTAAAAACAAATAAAAAAGCCAATGTTAGTATATCAGACTTATCTATTCATTTTTGACAATGATAGTCTTTAAAACAATCACGTATTGCACTAAATCATAAATAGACAAGTCACTTGCATCACTTCCACTCGAATCATAATCGGTATTCAAATTATAAAAAACATTTCAATCCGATGAAGTGGGTGAGTTACTATTTTGAGACATTATTTGAAAAAGGTAAGCTAATACAATTGAGTAAGATAGAAAAAATCGCAAGATAAAGAAATGACTACAAAACGAAATGGTAAGTTAGATATGTACATTAAATAAATGTGAACGACACCAATGAATAAGTGTTCCTTATTGAAGATACAAGCTATATTTATGCAAAAAATGAAGTTAGAAAGAAGTCGAGAATGCTCGTTTGTTTTGCTTCGTTGCATACCAAGAATTATCTAAGATGGATAAAAACAGCGAAAAGAGAAACTAATTTTCTTTTCTTATTCAATCTTGCGGTGGCACAAAATTGCTGACATTTTCAATTAAAATAGGGAAATAGATCAAAAACATAAAAGTCTAAGAAACAACAAAAAAAAAGAATAAGACACGAAAGAGTTAATAGGAGACAGAGAGAGAGAATTAAAATATACAAAGAAGAAATATCAACATAAGGATAGTTTTGAATATCATTACTTGGGTACAGTTATTGAGAAAGGATATACCAACATGATGCAAAAGACTCTTGATATGTAAGGACTCGGTCATGTGTCATGCGAAAATACTATGAAACCGTCAAAGGTATTGATACGACGAAAGAGAGACACAGTTTTGGCAATTTGGCGAAGAAAGATAGTCATATCAAAAACTAAACATCTCAATCTTTTCTGATATAAGATTGTTGAAAAACTATCACGACCTGGTTTTTGATTAATTATTAGTCATAATAAATTTTTTTTTGGTATGAAAATATTATTAATAATGAGTTTATATCGAAAACATATCATCTGCAAAAGAATACATTTTTTCATGTCATTCAACACCAATGGGTCACTTTTAACCTAAGTTGTTCGAAAGAATTATCTTTCAATGCATTAATTCAATAGTTTGTGAAAAGGTTCTGAATAAATAATTGATTCATTAAGTAACATATATCAACCGTTCAAAAAAATAAATGATCAATTTGTGCTAATGAAAATAAAACAAAAAATAAAACAAATTGGATTTTTCCATTTTTTTTGAAAAATCAAGATTTTCCAACTCAAATATTTTACTAATAGACAATGAGAAAAAGTTTAATTCTTTAGCACTTTATAGCACACTAAGTGCTGTACACAATGTTAAAGAACCTTCTTGTTTCAATACTTTATTGCTCCAAACAGATAGGTTTTCTAGATAGGTCAAAAATGACCCACCGGGTGGGGGGGGGGGGGGTTAGGATTAACATATCAATTCCGCTGAGAGCTTTTTTGATAAAAACTTTATTATTACAGTTTTATGTAGATATACAGTGTAAGAAGTGTATAGCTTCAGGAGTTTTCAGCATGAGCAACTTCTATTTTAGTCTGTCGACACAAGAAGAATTCTTTCAAAAACTTTTATCCAATAACTCACAATAACTAATATTGCACAACGTCTGTGTTTTACAAGAATTGATAAATTCGATTTGTATTCTAGGATTTCTTCTTCACCTATTAATATGCTTTCTATTGCATGGGCTAGCAATTGACATAAATTTCACAGCAGAACGGAATCTTTTTTGATACTTTTGCAATGAAAACATAAACTAAAAACTCTCAGCTATGGAGAATTTCTGACAGCTGTTTAAAAGTAGTCCAGAAAAGTGAGTTTGATATTTCGAGTATAAACATCTATATTTTCGATACAATTTAGCTTCTAATGACCAGTTAACTTTCTGTGATAATAATCAATTCATTCAGCATGATCTGATACTCTCATTGTGCGAGGAGAAAGTGTGAATTCAAAATTCAGAACTGGGACTTTGATGATAACTAGAGCTTTGTTCGTTGGAGACTTTCAGACTCATATTTATAGATAGTTAACATCACCCAAAACAGACCAGCCTCTATGCCCTAAAACTTGAAAAACCAATCAATCTATTTGAAAGAGGACTTCACAAGAAATTAAAATCATCCCGTTTTACTTTTAGGCGTAGACTGGGTGTGTTTCCTTCACCTATACATCGCATCCAAATGGACTAAAGCGACCAAAATATTCTTACAACTTTAAAAATGCGTCAGAATAAAAGTAAAACAGGATAAATTTGATTATTGTCTTGGGCCTTATGATCTTCAATTTAATAACTTGTTTAGTTGCATATCTACACGTGAAAAAAAGCGGAATATCTGATAGAATTTTGAAATCTATTGAAGCTTAAACTTGAATGCAATTGGGTTAATCATTCTCTGGATATCAACGCCATCTTTATCATTGCCCATAAAAGTGACCTCTGTAACGTAGCAAATATGTTAAATACACTTGAGGTTTTGATAACGTCACAATGGCAATTGTCGCTTTACAAGAAAATAAACTACGATCAGATGTTGCTTACATGATATTTGTTTTCTTTTTTTATTATTGAATTTTGTTTTTTTTCTTAAATCTAAATTAGATTTCCATTCTGTTCAGCATGAGTTCGGCATCAGCCATTCTCACATCATTATCGGATTTAACTAATAATCCAAAATTGGAACATTATGATCCTCATCTTTGTAAAGATATTCATATTAAACTTGATAAAGAAGCCCGTGACCAAGGCTTAAGTTTTCAAGAACGTTTTGAAATGGTTATAAAAAATATTTTTATTTTATTCATAAGAAAAAAAAAGAATATTTTTTTTTAATCATTTTAGGCACGGAAAAATATGTCTGTTCATAAGAAATGGGAATCAATATTTCCTAGCGGTATATCCCAATGTCTTAAGGAATATTGGAAAGAACGTATGAGTACACCACCACTTGATCCACGTTTTCCAAATTCAAATCAAACAAAGTAAATTCAAATAAACATTTGTTTTTTTTCAATTTTTTCGTTTTTAGACGATGTTGGGTTAATTATGTTGATTATCATCGTTGTATGGAAATGAAAAGTGATGAAAAAGTTTGTAGTTATTTCAAATTTCATTATGAACAACTATGTCCAAAAGAATGGATTGAGAAATGGGATGATCAAATGGCACGTGAAGTTTTTCCTGGTATACATGATTAGAAAGACAATACTGAAATTTCTTTCCTTCCCTGTCCATTCTTTTTTTTTTGCTATTGTCCCATCATCCCTTATAAACAAAAAAACTAATGTTTAGAATATCCTAAAACTTATGATTAAAACTAGTTTTCTTTTTTTTTTTTTGATTTCAAAATCCAGGTTTTTTCAGATTAATAAAAATTTAGAAAAATGAGCAGTAATAAGGCTCTAGCAGCTATTCAAACAATGAAAATCATCTATGGATCACATGGTCGACAAAATATTTTGCCTTATCATTATCTTGGGTAAATGAAAACTAATTTTTTAAAAAAATAAAATCTAAATTTTGCGTTTTTTAAGTATGATTTATCGTACACCATGGCGATTTTGGTATTCGAATTCTCAAGTATTTCGATGGTTTTCACGTCTTATGACTGTAGCTGTTGCAGCATCGATCTATTTACCATTACGAGGTGTTGATTTAACTTATACACCATATAATATTGTTCATCATCAACTTGATCATAAATTTGGTCATTGGATTGAAGAAATGCGTTATCCAGTCGATCAAAAACGAGTAGAAGAATATAAAAAAACACATGGACTTCAATAGATTTAGATTTATAAATGTTCTCTCCTTAAGAAAAAACAACAAGATCATTCAGTGAATTCCTTAACGATCACTTTTTTCTCCTTCCTTTTTCTCTCTGTCTATCTCCATATGATGTTCTATCATCTTTTTTCAATTAGATTTTTCTATGTAATAAAGAAGAGAAGAAAAAAAAACAACATTGGTAGATCCATTTTGAGAATAAAGATTAATTAGAATTCGTTTTTCTGAAGAAATAAATACAATTAATGAATATTGTGTCAAATTTTGTTTACAAAACTATGATAGAAACAAAAATAACCTTGACTAAAACAACATAAAAATATCTATGAAGAAATGGGTACAATAAATAAATGAATTTAGTTTTCTAAATCATCTGATTTTTGAAATGAAAAACATTGCGATCGCAACGGTTTGTATTATTTAAAAAAGACTCGAAAGAGAATGCATCGAAAAGGACTGTTTTTTGGTCAATTGAGGAGGAATGGTCGCATAGTAGAACCAAGATAAAATTTATTATGTGAAAAAATGATATTCTTTCTTTTGGAGATTCATTTCTTTTTTTAATTTAATAATGTTTCATTTATTTTGCATGTTTAATGTGTTCAAAAACTCTGCTGTTTACGAAAAAAGGATTCATTTTACTGTTGAAATTGTAACAACAAATATTGAAGTGGCTGTTACTAAATAATTACTGCATAGAATTTTAGAACACATAAGTCATGAGCAGAGTTGGAGCCTGACAGCTTTTTTCTGTTCAGTTCGGTTAGATCAGTAACCAACCGAATGAATTTCACAGTCAAACTGGCAAAAATCCGGCGAAAATAACGATCCATAAAAGTACCTGTTCACGTAAAATAATAGAGAAGTGAACATGAATATTCACGTGTAGAAATTTGAACTGGAAACTAAAACTTGGAAATGAAATTCTCACCATCATATTTTATAGCAAGATACGCCAACTTTTCGAGCCAGATATAGATATAAATTAGCTATTCTGATTAAATCTGGTTTTTATCTTAATGTCGAAAAAAAGAAAAAAAGCAAGTGTATAGCAAATCTAGCACAAAAATGTAAATATTTATTTTTCTTGCTTTAGGTAACTGCCTAAGTACTACAAGAAGATAAATTATCCGATCTGTGTTGAAGTAAGAGACACGAGAAAGAAATCGATAGAGATATAAAGAAAACAATCAATCGTTTATAGTCAAGTCGAAGACAAGATAACTATTGAGTCTTTCGCAGACACATTCTTTCGACTTGAAAATGTCATAAAAACACCATTTTCAGTAGAGATAATTGTTGAATGCAAACAACATTTTTGGAATGATGGACTGACAAAAATTCGGTCCTATTCGGTCGGATCGGAAAAAAATAACCGGACCGGTTCTAACTCTGGTGATGAGAATATGATATTCAATACAAGTTTTCCACGACCATGAAAGATATCACTCTTAAAGAAAAAGTATTAGTTCTGATCCCCGTCACGGGATCATCTTGTCCATACTATCTATACTCTAATCGAGCTATCTACACTGATCATCTTACTATTATATCTATTTGCGGACGTTCCCCTAATGCGGCTATTTTCTTATCTTCCGTTATTCCGTGTTTCGGAGATTTTCTAATGTTTGGTCACTTTTGTTTCTCGCTCACTCGACTTTACTTTGCAAACATTTTTTTTTCAATTAAGGGAAAATGTCTTCAATCAAAAAGACATGATAGAATATTATAATAACAACATCGAAAGAAAAAATGTCAGCATATAAGTTTTAAATTATTCCAATGTAAATAAGTTTTTGTTAATACATGAGAGATAGAAGAAAAAGAAAAGTGCGGTAACAAGACACAATACATGTTGACTGTTTTGTTACAACTAATGAAGAGTCATCTAATAGTCCCACAAGATGGATTTCATTATTTGATTAGCGTATATTTAATGTATTAATACACTGTTGTATTTCATTGACCGTCTTTGTTTTCCGGTTGATCTTGATTAATAGCATTCATTTGTATTATCATATATCAAAATCGATCCTCTTTTTCCTAAAAAACATTTGATAAATTAGTAAATATTTAGATGAAAACTTTGAAAACATTGATTTAAGCGCTTACGGAAACCTATTTAAGCTTCCTATCCTCAGAAAAGTTGATTTCGGTCAAATTTATGGATTCTGTGATTTATAACTCGTTAGATAGAGCAAAGTATCTACTCTCGAATCCACGATAAATTGTTGATTTTATGATGAGATTTTTTCAAGGATGTCACAAGGGTTTCTGAACCTCCAGACAGAACTAAATGACGTTATTTTCCTAAAAGAATTTATTTTTGAAGTCTTTCAAGCTTCTCTGTTGATTTTTAACACTGATGGACATGGCTGTCATGCATCGCTACGTATGATGCGGTTTTCATAGTTCAAAAGAGAGAATGAAGACACAGCGAATCATATATTATAAAGTTTTTTGACTAGATTATTTCAAGATTTTCAATTGACCTCGTTGAAAAGAAACCTAGCTAGTGAGATATTTACAGCGAACTTTCAATTGTCAGATGCGTATTTAAAGTGACCATGGAGGATCCATCAAACTGCACAAGATTTACATGTTTAGAAATAATTATTCAGGTGTTATAGATATTTCAGTCGAAACTTAAAGTGATTTTTGTAGCAGTTTCGGTGAGAATTATTTTTTGCTGTTTTATTTTTGATAAAAAACCAAGTTATTCGACACTTAGATAATTGATTGAACAAACTTCAGACAATGCACTAGGAAAACCTATAATATATGATTCGATGTATCTTCGTCTTCTCCTTCGAACGATGAAAACTACAGCTCTCTGTTTTGTTTCTATCAAATTTTATTCAAAAAATATCTTTTCACTTTTGTAACCAGAATGCGCTTGATACCCAACGAGATCTATAGCAAAAAAAAAGTGTGGAGGAAGAGAAAGAAAGCCGTGGAGGGCACCCAGCTCCCGCCTTTGTAATTTGTATGTGTTATATCTCAAATATTCTTTGATTTCTATGAGATTTACAGAGACAAAGAGTGTGCAGGTCTTACTATTTTTAAGTTTCTAGTGTTTGTATTCTAAAATTAACAATTCAAGAGAAGAACAATAACTGAGATATTCCTACTTTAATAGTCTTATTTCTTGTCTAAAATATTTTTTACTTGTGATGCAATCTCCAATCTTGTGATATAGATGATGATTGTTTGAAGAGTAACATTGAAATAACCAACAATCAGTCCATGGATTTATTTGAGTCAATGAGTTTAAAGATCTCTCTTCATTTAGCTTCTACAGTGGTAGAAGTGAAAATTCAACAGTAACAGTTTTGAATGCAAACATAAACAGCTATCTTGATAAAATTGAGGTAGTAATAGATACTTTAGTTGACAATTTTGACTCGATTCTCGTTTCTTCGACTAATATTCATGTATCTCAAAATAAACAAGTACCAGCAAACATTACCAGATGTTTCATCAAGTTTAGATTCAGTGGAACTGCAAGACGATATTGCAAATAAATAACGATTGATTGATATTGTCAGATGAATTATGGTACTTGCTGTTGATACAATATGTTGTTTCCGACGAAAATGTCAAGTGAAGTTTTCATCGAACAAAAAGAAAAAGAATACTGTCGAAGGCCAACTTATGTGTCAAAACCGTCAAAAGCTGATCTTTTTAGCGTACTTTATATTCTATTCGTGGAATCACTTGGTAACAATGAACTTGGTCATTTTGTTCTTTCACCTTATCAGTAATAAGCTAAACTACTAGGCATCAACTGACTAATAATTAGACACAAAGCAAACAATTATCACAAAGATAACATTCTGGATGCCGAAAAAATTCATTTCTATGTAGCAAAACAAATGCGACGGTGTCGATGATTTGCTATTGAACAAACAGAAACTGGAGAAAAATCAAAAATTGAAAACGTTTAACACGTATTGTCAAAACAATTATACTCTGTGGCCACAGCATCATTCCGTTGTAAAGGCACGAAAATGATAGCGATTTGAGTATGAAGTCTATTGTTCAAGGAGAAGGTAAGTAAATAACCTAGTTTTGTTTTACTAACTGAATATTTGTACTAGATAATTTTTGTGCGGTACTTCGATATCGATTTGATATTGGTGATTCAATGTTAAAAAACAATCTATCAACAACTTGCAAAAGTACCACATGAATCTCGAAAACAACACAAAATCTACTAATGAAAATTTGCGGTCATTTAATTCGGAAACAAAGAATTACTGAAATATAGCATGCCAAATTGTTCACTGTAATCGGTGATAAGATCACTGAGGTGATCAATATCGAACAGTTTACATTTTTTCTTCGATACATGTTTAAAGACAATGATCAAGAAAAATTTATTAGTTTTCTATCAGTCGAAGATCGAACCTGGGAAGGCTTGGTTCAATTAGTTCTTGAAGCGTTAAAAAAATCTCGGTCTTGATCCAAACTTCATGGTAAGCCAGACATATGATGAATGCCCAGCAATGTTCGGCAATTGATTGGTACGTTCTCTTCTGAAAATTTCTTTTCATTTCTTTTTTTCAGCGTTTACATCTATAACTCTAATGTTTTGCGTTTTAATCTTTAGAGATGCCGCGCATATATTCAAAGCCTATTTCCAGCGGTACTTAACCATCACTGTGCATCACATAGTCTTAACTTGACAGTACTCGATTTAATGTTTTATTACTTTTATTCAAAATTGCATTGATTCTATAAAAACAAATCTCTAATTATTTCAAATCATCATCGAAACGAACATTGCGTCTCAAACAGATCATAAACTAGTCAAAGATAAAACGTTGGCAAATGCCTGTAATACGAGATGGGTCGAAAGGCACGATGCTGTGATCACATTTCGAGAATTGTATCAATTCATCGTGGATTGTTTCGACACAAACATCAAGGAGGAAACAGATATCGTCATTATATTACAAGCATCAGGCACTGATATTACGAATTGTAAGCAGTTAGTG